GCATTCTTCTTTATTTTGAACACCCATTTACAGCCCACTAAATTTTTGTGAGGAGGAAGAGGTACCAAGGACCAAGTACCTTGATTATGTAGGGCTGAGAGTTCTTCTTTCATAGCTTCACACCACACAGAAGATGTCAAAGCAGATTTATAGGTAGCAGGTTCTACTTTAGTGAGATCAGCCCCTCCATGTTCATGTATCACAGACATGAATGCAATCTTCGTAGAAATACCACTCTTCGATCTAGTTTGCATTGGATGCCAATTGAATGATAGAACATAAATGACTACTTGGAGTTGGTCAGGCTGGAATTCAGGTACCACAGGAACAGAAGAGGATAATGACTGATCTACAGTGCTACTAATGGGTGCAGCTTCATTGAGATCACCAATGAGAGTATGGTGACTTGATGTTGCATATGGCATAGACAGACTAGATCCATTTGACAAACTATTGGTAGTGATAGGGTGACTCCTAATGTCTAATGAATTATTTGGAGCAGACTGTGAGGAACGAGACTGCATCAAACTAGGAGAAGAAACAAAAGACATAACCATCACATTATCATTGTTTGGTACCAAAACAGGGTGAAAACCATGTGAGGAAAGTACTGGAGAAATGACTGGTTTATCAAAAGACACGAGGTTGGAATAAGGAAATTCAAATTCATCAAAAATTACATGTCTTGATATAAAAACCCGTTTCTTAGCCACCTCAAAACATATGTACCCTTTAAACTTAGAAGCATACCCTAAGAAGACACACTTTGTAGTTCTAGGTTGAAGTTTGGTACTGTTATAAGGTCTCAGTAGTGGGTAACAAGAGCAACCAAAAACCCTAAGGTGTTGAATTTCTGGAATGTCATGAAAGAGGAGCTCAAATGGGGATTTGTTATCCAATGTAGAAGATGGCATCCTATTGATAAGATAAACAGAAGTTTGAATCGCATAGGACAAAAAAAAAGGTGGTAGGGAAGCTGTTTGTAACAGTGTGATGGAAGTCTCAATTATATGTCTATGTTTACGCTCGGCTAAGCCATTTTGCTCAGAGGTATGGGGACAGGACATATGGTGAAAAATCCCTTTATTCAAAAGAAAAGCTTGAAAAGATTTCCCTATATACTCCCTTCCCCCGTCAGTTTGTAATGTTTTCATAGAGACATCAAATTGATTTGTAACGTATTGATAAAAAGAAACAGAAGTAGGGTAAACATCACTTTTATTGCTTATTGGAAAAATCCAAGTATAACATGTACACTCATCAATGGAGGTTACATAATACTTGAACCCTTCAATGGACAAACAAGGAGCGGGACCCCACACATCACTATGAACTATCTCAAAAGGTTTTACAGACTTGAACTAAGACACATGAAAATGAAGTTTTGTAAATTTTCCTTCCAAACAGGTAGAACACAACATAGGTAAGGAATCAAGACTACAAGACAATCTGGACTTTCTTAAAATTTGAGATACTATAGGATTAGAAGGATGACCTAGTCTGTTATGCCATAATCTTGAATTGATTTGTTGTCCAAGGTAAGCAGCAGCATAGGCACGTTTTGAAGAAGCACTGGATGTTGGTGAGATAATCGGATACACCCCATTACTGCACAGTCCTTTGTAGAGTATCCTCCCTGTGGTTTTGTCCTGAATCCAGAAACACAATGCATCAAATATTAACCAACAATTATTGTCCAAGCAGATTCTGTGTTAATTTCGGGACATATAAAACAGAATTTAATTTCAGAGAATGTAATGGAGTTTGAAGAGTGGTGGAGCCAATATGAGATATGGCTAAACCTTCACCATTAGCAGCTTGTATAGTCTCATTGGATGGATAAGGAGTTGCAAGAGATAGATTCTGCAACTCAGTTGTCATGTGGTTTGTCGCTTCCGAGTCAGTGAGCCAAACTTGCTGAGATGGAACAGAGGACTGGGAAGAAGTAGACTGAGGACCAGAGTTGGTGTGAGCATACATGGCAGTCATTGAAACATTAGAATTCTTTTGGAAGCAAAAATCAGCACTATGGTTAGAATTCCCACAGATTTGACAGCCTGAATTAACTCCAGTATTTCGAAACCGACAAGAATCAGCAAAATGATTATGTTTCCCACAGATTTGGCAACCTAGAGAAGCAGGAGCATTTCTAAAGCGACAAGTGTCTGCAAGATGATTATGCTTGCCACAGATTTGACATGTCATCAACGGAGAATAACCAAGCTGTTGTGGAGAGTTTCCCAAGATTCCAGGGCCAGGATTGGAGAAGAATTGCTTGTTGGTTCCAAACCTGTTATTAGAATTAAAACGATCCCTGCCTTTATTCTTGTTATTGAAACCTCGAGAACTATGATACTGATAGTTTAAGTTAGGATGCTGAGATGTAAAACCACCAGAATTCTTCGAAGGAAAACCAGACTGTTGAGCAACCAAAATAGTAAGCATAGGGGCATCATTCATATTTTCAAGCATTGCTTCTTCAGCAAGGAGTTGAGAACGAAGATCTTTCAATGAAATAACAGTATCTCGACCCCTAATGACTGACCGAATGGTATGGAACTCAGAAGGTAAACCAGTCAACGTAAGAATTACAATATCATCATCTTCAAAATAGACACCAGCAACAGACAAATAATCTCGAGCTTCCTTAATCCTTTGAAGATACAAAGTGACGGAATCATTACCTTTCTTGATAGTTTGTAGCTCAGATTTCATTTGGAAAATGCTGGTTCGAGAAACTGTGGAAAATTGTTCTTTCAGACGAGTCCATAAATCCAAAGAACTGATACTCCCTATTGCACAAGAAATTGCAGGAGCCGAAAGAGTTGCAGAAATGAGCTGCATCAACGCTCTGTCATGCATTTTTCAAATCTTGTATGCATCAGATTCAACTTGTGCAGTAGAACAACCAGAACTTCAGAATCCCCAGAAATCACATCAGAAAATCGAGGAGGACAAGGAGTAGACCCATCAACAAACCCCATAATGCCATAGCCTTCCAACAGAAGCTGCATCTGAAAATGCCAAGTCAAGTAATTGGTATCATCCAACTTCATGGTTACGGATGTAGAAACAGAGGAAATAAGAGATGTAATAGGCGATTGCAAGATTTGCAACTAAGAGACGGTCACCATTTTGATGGAATTGCTTCATCGAGATTAACAGAGAACAAACGTCGAACACTTGGTGTGCAGAAAACCAAACACAAATTGAAGAGCCCTAATTCGATCAGAAAAGCCCCAAATCAAGAAGTAATAGACAAAAGAGAGAAGCACATATATGTGCGGAAGCATATACAGAAATCCCAGATCGATACACCGTAAAGCTTTATACTTTTTCCGGCGAAGATACCATGTAAACCAATCTACACATATATCAGATAAGAAGAAGATTGATAGGAAGAGAGAGATGAGATAGAAAGAATACTTGGAGAGCAAGATATATCTGAATTGTATTGTATATTTCTTATTCATTTCACAACTGTTTCATTACAAAGGATATTTATACTATCTTAGACAGCTTCCTAACTAAGCTATCTTATAACCTTATAATTGCAATACTAATCTCTTGACATTTGGCAACATCTTAGCTATTCATATAATACTCCTAACAATATAAAATGTTGACGTGGCTTAACCGTGATCACACAAAATAGGAAAGCACGGGAAGTGGGAGGGCAGAGAATCTGCCTCCGTTGGTGACTCCTCACTCGCTCATGAGAGGAAGGAGGGGTAGAGTGAGATGAGCAATGAACTCCACTACTGGAGAGGGAGCGAGAATCAAGGGAGTGGTACTTGCTCCTCAACCACTGAGTTCTGCAAAAGGAGAGATTTTTTTAGTGTGACTGGAATACGTAGTGGTATACCACGTGTCACTATATCAATGATAAAATACGTGTCACTATATCAATGGTAGAATACATGGTGTACCATCCATATTTTTGTCACAATGAAAAATTTCTCCTGTAAAAACCCTAGAGTCCCAACAAGATGGGAGGAGGATGGAAGTATGAGACCGGCGACCGCTTTATAATGAACTGTAGTCATCTTGAATAAAGATATTGATTTGAGTGTCGAAGTACCTTTTGCAAGTACACCCCCGTCCCCCCCCCCCCCTCCAAAAAAACCATTTAATAAGCTTAGGAGTAGACGTTCGGAGACGCATCTCGAGGAGAGATTCAACCAATGTGCGGAGCACAATCAACAAACCTGTGGAGGTGTTTCTTCTTATGAGAATTTCGGTCCAACAAAGATAAATGTACCGTAATCAAATCCCACGAAGATAAACTTATAGAAACGAAACCACAGTACTTTAAAAAATTACCATAATAAATTAATGGCCGTCCACGATGCTTTTTCTTAGAAGCAACATTGAATAGACCTAGATGTTTAATCTGTCCATTTTCCATTTAAGCACAGAGACGGCTTTTACAACACTTTCTATAACTGGGTTATTTGCTCTCAATCTTTCTGTCATTTGGTAACATAGCGTGGAATTCTAGGCACCACACACACTAATGCATCTACGTACTAACTAGGTTTCATCCTAAATGAGGATTAATATTCATGCTAGACTCTCAATGGGGCAAACATGGCTAGACTCGCATTGGGGCAAACTTGCCAGCTATTTGTAGTGCACTACATTGCTCGACTCTCAATTTCGACCACACATTCAAACAAGAAATCGCATCGATGAAATTGTTATATTCACAGTCTAATAACATATTACCAGTCTAATAACATATTACCATGGACGCGTTTTGTCAGAATACAAGATTAGAGATGATGCAAGTACTTTTTTGGTCATAATTAAAAATCCCGCTGAAAGTTGCCTAATTACTTAACAATAGCTCATATGTTGCCAAAGTTTAAGGAGTTCTCTTTGATCAGCTTGGAAATCTTTCTTCTTTCTATTTGTGGAAAGGCATATTCTATATATCTTTCTTGCTTATGACAAGCAATGATCAACGGATGAAAATATGTACACAGTGATTTGTAGGATAGCGACAACTACTAGTTTACTACGCAAGTGGTAGTGGTACACCTTAGATTATATTACATCTTTATTTCCTAATAATCAAGATAAATATGCCCAAATGAAACCACATACAAACTTTTAATTAAAAAGAAACTCAACACGATAGACAAAAAAATACCATATATGAACCACATTTTAATGTTCCTCTAGTTCTATTTGTGCATATTTTCCAATAATTAAACACCAATTTTTTCTAGGCCGAACAAACGCAGAAAAGACCCAAAATTAACACCGAGCCAAAACCTTTGTTGATCATGATTGCAAGTCAGACTGAAAACACATCGGAAGATGTAGACACTGGTGTTGCTGATGAACCTATCCCTTTATTAAGCCTTGCCTTCTGCAATCAAAGAAAAGAAGAAGAGTTACCAATACAGCACATCCCCAAATGAGCTATAAATTTTGAGGGTCCTAACCATGTCAGCAAGAGTGTTCTTCCAAGCCTTGTCCATCTCTTCGAAGACAAGATCGATCGTAGGGCGGCCTTTGCTTGATTTGGCAACACAAAGTACTGCAACTTGCAGGATCGATTCAAAGTCTGCCTTGTTGACATTTCCATTCATTCTTGGGTCCTCAAGATCCTCAGGTGGGCGTTTGTTCATACTTATATCCTTCGCCTGCAAAAAAGTAACTAGAATTGTAAATCTATTTTCTCTTTCTCTAGCTCTCGGCGCAAATGAACTGGTGTGTATACTACTATACCTTTCTCGTTAGTTGGTCTCTAGCATCAAGATCTAGCTCAAATACTTTTTGCCCCGATAGCAGTTGCAGAGCAACAATACCGAAACTGTAGACATCACTTGCGCAGGTTAACTTGGCATTGGTCATGTACTCTGGATCCATGTACCCTATGGTTCCTCTAACATCTGTAAATACTTTGCTTTCCTCCATACCCAACATCTTTGCTAGACCGAAATCAGATAGCTTGGGTTCCAAGTTATTGGTCAAAAGGATGTTGGTGAGCTACAAATTTAGCAAACAAGCATCAACATCAATATACTCAAGAGGAATTAATTGTGAATTGGAGAACCATATCAAAGTTAAAAGGAAATGATTTCCGCATCCTTCTGCATACCTTCCTTTTTTTGTTATCTTGGTCTTTAGGTTGAATAAATCAAAAGAGAATTAAGGGACAAAAATAAAGAGATGTGCCAATAAAGAAAAAGGGTGTGCGGGAATCTGTTCTACACGGTTAATTTTACCTTAATATCTCTATGAACAATGCAGCCATCAATATAATGGTGGAGATATCTCAAAGCAAGTGCACAATCTCTTAGAATCTTAACTCTTCTTTCCCATGTTAAGACAGGATCGTTTCCTGATTTCAATAAATGTTCATTCATGTTAGCCTTAAAGAAAATGCATTTCCAAGATGATTAACTTGCTAAATACGTTTAGAAATTGATAAGAATCAGAGGAATTACTTAGGAGGTGTTGAGCTAGATTCCCTTTAGCACAATATTCATAAACAAGATATTGTTCACCATCTTCGACGCAGCAACCAAAGAGGCAAACCAAGTTTGGATGTCGAACCCTCGAAAGGCCTTCCACTTCTCTAGTAAAAGAATCGGATTTGTTGCTCTTGTTTATGTGCTTAATGGCCACAACTTGCCCGCTCGGAAGAACCCCTTTATAAACTTGACCTGCGCTTCCTCGTCCTAGATCCTTTCTTTCTGTATTGATGGCATTCTCAATCTCGGCCTTGGAGAACCTGTACAGGCCAGACCATGTAGTAATCGGTCCTGAGAGAACCGGTTTTTGAGGCTTCTTCTTGGTCACAAAATGTATCAGCAGGATGATCAGCGTCACTGTGGTGATGCCTATTAAGATTGAAAGTATCGCTTCTGCCAAAGAATCTGATAGGTTAAATGATTAATTTCTTTGAGTACACATGAAACTTTTGTTGTCAATTTTCACCCAATAGAGTAGATTGAATAGTAATACAGCTTTACTTACATTTGAGTTTGACGTAGCCTGGATCTGCATATGGACCGAAAGTGAATACACACGAAACAGAAAATTAATTAAGCAGATAGAATCATAGAAAAAATTTGGGCCAATTGGAAGTTGATTGAGCAAGCATGAGGCAGAAGCAGTTTTCATACCGAAGGCATCTAACAAAGACATACACCACATGTAGTCATTGTCGATCAAAAAGGTATTGTTCATCTTCTCTTCTAAAACAGAAATAACAGCTGCTATACCACATATGCCCGTCTCAGTTGCGTTCCCGTCCTTCACTCCATATGCTTTCAGCAAAGAGTCCCTCAAGCCTAACACTGCCTTGCTGCAATTTCCGCAAACATCGTCAAATGCATTGCTGAGGTTTGCGCATTTCCTTATTGCGTTTTGGAAAGCCTGCTCTGTCTTGATGGATGCAAGAGTTGTGTTCGAGCACGTGCTGCTGCCGTAGTAAAGGTCACCAAAATGACAATTTTCTGCAGACACGCTTCGCTCCTTCTGAAAAGGGCCGCTGCAATTTTTCCAATCTTGTTGTGAAAGAAAGACGCGGGCGCTGCCCTGCGTCTTGACTGCGTGAATGGCTAAGGCTTTGGACATGGTGGTGAGGACATTTCGACAGCACGGGCTCGTGAGGTAGCTCCCCCACACGTTTATTTTCTGTTTTACGTGATGGAGGCACTCCCCAGTTGGTTGGAATGGATTGGATGTGAAGTTTAACACACAACCTCCTGCAAAAAGGCATGTATAAGCATCTGGTTTCAAAGTTTTTGCATCTACAGTTCAAACAATCATAAATCTTCCTAAGTAGACACAAACGCTGCAAAGTAGTAGATAACCATCTAATGTTAAACGAACACTTGGCTCCTTACGTGAAAGAGTTGTACCTCGTTACTTGCTAAAATCACATCACTGACGCATATGTAAAAATAACTCATTAAAATCACAAAAAAAAAAAAAAAATGTTGTTGCATGTAAGAAACCAAACAATTTCCATTTCAACCACATATATATTTCGATTAATTTATCTAGCTATCAGTCTTTAAATCATTATCCCAGTTCATGTTTCATGTCATTAGAAAATGTTGGCAAGCAAAAGAAGAAAAAAAAAAAGAAAAAAAACTACAATTTAATAAACTAGAAGACACTGCGCCTCCCTAGAGGACTAATTTACTAAAAATAAGCACAGGGTCCTTTGGTTTTATGGAACCAAGTCTACTTTGTTGGATGATGTACGGGTTCAACTCTCTCATACTGTTATTAAAAATTAATAAATAAATAAATAATTACTAAAAGTAAAAGATAAAAGGACCTGAGGGATCTTCTGGTGAAGGTAAATCATCTGCAGAAATTAAGATAAAATAAGTGACAAGGAGTAAGATGGCAAGCTTGGAAGAAAACTTTCTTGGTGTCATATTTTTTACAAGTTCTATACAAATCCGAGAAACTAAGCAACGAAAAGTTATGTTTTGTGAAAGATTAACAATGAACCCGAAAGTTTTCGAAGGCAACAGTGGAACTGAATACTTATAGAAACCCTAGCATTCCTCGTCGACGTCGAAAAACGAATAGGGATATTCTTTGTTTCTTCTAGTTTTGGTTCTGAGAGAGACAGCTGCTCTTACAACCTTGATATTTCCGGTGGCTTTGATCATGTACACAAACCATAACTAAGGGATATTAATTAAGTGGTAATTAAAATAACAACCACTTGGAAAGTGGCTCCAAAAGCATATGCTTATTAAGATTTGAACCAATCATCCAATCTTCATTCACATCGCCGCATATGTCTCTGTGTAAAACTACAAACTAATCTCCTTATACAACATCATCTTATTTTATAACAAAAGCTTATGGGGTTTGCTATCTACACACCTATTTTGACTTCATACACACTCTCTTAAATTGCAGCCGTTGGATCGACTGAATTAAAGAAAATCAAATGACAGAAATTAACAAGGGGTGTGTGAGAAATAAAAAGCCTAAGCTTATCTGTTATTTGGTAAATTTTTTGGTGCTTATTATGCCTAAATTCCCAACAGTGCTAAAATACTATTTTTCTTACACATGCGATTACAATATTTTACACTTAATTCATCTAAATTACGGAAGAAATATTTTACACTAAATTCATATAAATTACGGTGGGAGAAACTTGAGTGCAGAGAGGAATCACATTATTCTAACAAACTTTGCTAAACCAGAGTCTGCCATTACAAGATATGATGCTAATTTTTTGATGGGAGATTATATTCACACACCCCAAATTACTATCCCCACACCCTTTTAATTTTTTAATATTTTTCTATCAAGTGTTAGTGGTGTGTAGAAAATGTTAAAAAAAAAATTAAAAGGGTGTGGGGGAAGTAATTTGGGGTGTGTGAATATAATCTTTATTTTTTACACAAGCAATATTTTACAACTACGAAAAAGGTATTCAAACTAAAGTAGAAAAAAAAGTACAATACTCTAACCAACTTGATTAAACCTAAATTTGTCACTACTAGGTATTATTCTTCTTCTTTAAACTAATCAATTTTTCTTTCTTCATAATCTAATTTCTAAGAAGTACACTAAGAAATTATATAAGGGATATAATGGATAATTATTTGGACAGATAATTAAACTACTTATTTACATCATCTGCGCTTCACTAGATTTCTCTCCATCTTTATTTGGTGCTTATTATGGGTTAATTATACTAACACCTCCCCTAAGATTTATTGTGTTTTTACAAAATCACTTTACGTTTGAAACATTACACTAACACTCTCTGAGTTTTTAATTCACTTCCGCATGACCCTTTAGGGCTGACATCTATTTTCTTAAAGACAAATTTGCCCTCATTATTAATTACTTTATCAGGGATGCCGCTCTCTGGAACGCAATGATCGGGAGCAAGCCAAGCTAGATGACCTCGACAGTGCCTGCCATGTGTCTGAACTTATGCTTCATTGCATTCGGAACGTGATTTCTTGGACTGCCCTCATTGCCGGATACGCCGAGACGAACCGCCCCCACGAGGCCTTCACCGTCTTCCGGAGAATGAAAGTTGAGAGTGTTGAGCCTGATGAGAGAGCAATGTTAGCCGCAGAGTCTCTGCGTGTGCCGATTTGGGTGCCCTCGACTTGGGGGAGTGGATCCATAACTACATTGACAAGCATGGATTTCGTGAGCTGGCTTAACAATACCAAATGCAAAACTAGTTTGTAGCAAAATTTTAAGAGAACTTTAACGAAAAACTTCCGGTACTGTTCACTTTAACGAAAACTCATATTTTTACACTAAAAAGTCAATCATAGTACTATTCACTTTATCCTTTATTTTGTTCTTATCGTTAAATCTCAAAGTTTTCAAACATTTTTCATTAGTTTTCCTAAATTTTAACTCCTAAATTCAATAATGCCAATTTTTATTAAAACTTTCAAATATAACAAAAATTCACATCAATTAACCAATGTACCCTCAAAGTTAAAAACACCATATTTCAAAAAAAAAAAAAAAAACACCATATGCAGATGAGATTTTTTATGTTCTTTCTTTCTTCCATGTTCTTTCATTTTTAGGGTTTTGATTATTCCCATATCCCAATCTAATAAGTTGAAAGAAAATTGTCTAATTCATTTATTAATTAACGAACACCGACAACTGAAGTGCATATTCTTGCATAAAAATTAATTGATATTCTGGAAATTTCATAACATACAACTTCTGCATACTTTCAAAATGAATTTTGCAAGTCTTTGTTTGGATGGAAATCTCTAGTACACGGTTTCATGGCATTTTGTGTGTGTGTATATATATATGTCTATATATATGTATATGTACATATATTTATAATTTTAATTTGGGGCACACACTTTTGGATTGATCTAATGGTTGTTTCAATAGCTCCCTATCAATACCAAAAAATCGACTTATACTTCGATTTTTATACTTAAAATACATTTCACTTTCACAATAGTGCAACAGATATATTCATGGTGTTTTTCTTGTTTGACGCCTGCAATTATGCCACTCCCCTCCTAATGATTGCTCGACTGGCACTGCATGGTCCTGCAAGAGAAGACCCTTAAATGTTTTCTCAATTTGAAAGGGCTCAAATCAAGCCTAACCATATCACTTTCGTCGCCATCCTTTATACTTGGTAGCCACGGCCGATTGGTTGAACTTGGCCATGAGTATGTTAACATTATGATCTCCAAGTAGGGGATTGAACCCAAAATTGTTCACTATGGAACGCAGTGATCGGCATCCCACATTTAAAAAAACACATTACCTGTCGTTTTCATCGATTTCTCGTCAAGGTTGGTGTCGGTTTGAGTGAGCAAGGAGCGAAGGAGATTGATGAAAGAGACAAAGGTGGGGATCTGAAGACAAGACGACGAAAAAAATTGGGAGGAATATCCGAAGATCCATAGGTGGCTTTCAATTTTCTGTTTTTTTTTTAAATGTTTAATGTATCTATTTTAATTGGTTATTATTGTATTTACTTCTAAAAGCTTTTAAAGTTTTTAAAGTAATTAATAATGAGGCTTTTTTAATTTTTATTTTAAAGTGATATCAGCTCTAAAAGGATTATATGAAAGTGAATTAAAAACTCAGGAAGCATTAGTGTGTGAAGAGTTTTGTAAAAACACGATAAATCTAGTATTAATGTAATTAACGCAAAAAATTTAATCAGTTTTGTAATCAAAATATGGCCCAATGATAATCGTGGGCCTTATTTGCCATATTGTGAAGCATTTTGGGTGTTTAATTGCAAGGATTGGGAATTTGATTTTGGAGGGGAATGAGCTTCTCTTTGGATCATCCAATCACGTCGTTCATTGTACATCGTGCGACCAGTTTTCGTTAAGTATTGTTTATATTCAATTTTAAAGAAAAAAATTTACAATAATTTATGACCGTACGATGTACGATGAACGGACGTGATTGGAGAATCTTTGGAATTCTCAAAAAGAGATTCTTTGGTGGGTTTAAAAACGCTTTTCTCATTGTATTTGACCCAAAAAAATTAGAAGTGAGTATAGCTCAACGAAGCGTTTTCTGAAAAAGCAAATCCAAACGATAGGTGATCTTCTTCAACTTTCTAATATATTTGTTATTTTATTTTATTAATACGAAAATAAAATCGCTTTTTTTTTTAATTCAGAATTTCATTTGTTATTTTTCTTTTAGAAAACTTCGACAGTACGAGAGAAATTTTATTGATAACGAAAAAAAAGGTACACCTAGTTAGGGGGGACATAAACATAACCCCTCATAATACAAGAAATAAGGATAAAAAAGATATATGCAAAAGAAGGGGTGGGGAGGACATAAACCTAACCTCTCTAGAAACAAAAACAACAAAGATACAAGGAAGAGAGGGGAAATGGGGTGGGACATGAAACCTAAACACTCTAAAACTGAACCTAAAGGTCTAAACTTGCAATCACAAGGTTAAGAAATAAATCAGAAAATGAGACCAGCCCTTATGCTAAGATGCACCTTAAGTTGAGAAGTGGAACCTAAGAAAGCCAAAATAGTCTGAAAACAAAGCAGCTCGAATTGCCGACAGATCATGCCATACCAAAGTTGGAGAAGCCAAGCCCATGTTAGCAAAATAATGTGCTAACACATTGCCTTCGCGATATATATATATATGTATATATATGAGAGGCGTAAAAAGTCATCTTCCTAATGCAGTCCAAACAAATAGACCTTGCATACAAAGAGGCCAAGGAGGATCAAAATCAATCGATTTGAGACTAGAAATAACACTGGAAGAGTCACTTTCCAGCCAAAGACAATGCCAACCCAGCTGATATATAAACTCTACACCAGTAATAAACTGCTAATAATTTTGCAAAAAATGAATTGTTATGACCAATCCCTTGGCAGAACCCAGCAAGAAAACTGACCATGGCTATCCTGGAAAACTCCTTCACAAGCAGCAGGACTAGGATTTTCCTCCATCTGTATTAAGTTTAATCCAAAGAAACCAAAGAGAAGACCAAAGTACAGGAAAATAGTTGGCGTCTTGCGAATGATAGGTTGGATCCCTAAAAAAAAAAATATATATATATATATGATATGATAAGAGTGTAAAAAGCTAACTCTATGCTGTAAAACTCCTGAAGCTATTAAATTGGACAAATTCTTTGAGTTGATATCCTCTTTTGGAGTTAATATCTCCTTTTCTTTTTTTTTTCCCTGTTTTTTTTTTTTTGTGTGTGAATAATATCTGCTATTTTAGATATTTTGTATTGTGAGTCAAAGGTTGTGTAGAACTTCTACCAAACTTTTTGTTTCAAATATTGCTCGTTCGGGTATATTTCGAGAAATTCAGCCAAAGTTGTTTCACGTTGTTTGATGTGGCTCCCTGGGCAGCCAAGTTTTTTAATTTTTATCTTGTAATTATATGAATACTTCGTTTTTGCCACAAGTTCTTGTTTTAGATCAAGGGACTTGAAAATGATTAGAATACAGAAAAC